AAAAGACCCTAATGCTGGGAAAGATGGAGGGCACAAGGAGAAGGGGACGACAGAGGACGAGATGGTTGGACAGTGTTCTCGAAGCTACCAGCATGAGTTTGACCAAACTGCGGGAAGACGGGAGTGCCTGGCGTGCTCTGGTCCATGGGGTCACGAAGAGTCGGACATGACTAAATGACTAAACAACAACAATTGCTACCAACAGAAACATGGCTATGTGAGCGCCATAGAAAGGTACCTATTGGTCATTGTCCATGACGTCATGAACACCAAGTAACCAAGCTCTGTCCACCATGCCTGTGCCATTTTGTGAAATTGTTTTCAGAGGTGCTTTGTTTTGGCTTTAAAGGTCAGCACCAACACCTTGAATTGTGCTTGGAGACGTACCCAGGAGCCAATGTAGGTCTTTCAGGACCAGTGTTATATGATCTCTGCAGCCACTCCCAGAATCCCTGCTCTCCTTCGTCTCTCATTCTGCTGCAGCCTGAGATATCCACAAACAACTCTGGGAACAGGAGAAAAGAGTTCTGGGTGACTAACTGTGATTCCCAGTTAGATTGGAAGCATATTTTTGGCATGCAAAGAAATAAATAAATACCAGTATTATTTTCTTTTAAATTAAGCATTGCTGGTACTCACTGATTGGTACCAGCGAGATATCTGGCCCATTTATGCTCTGACAGCTTTCCAGAATGTGCTGGGCTTTGATTGCCGCCTCAACGACTCACATCCCGTTTTTCTGACTTGCTTCCTACTCAGGTCAGGTCCTTTCATTTAATTAGCTCTCATTTCCGTGGGCAGATTTCCCCCCCCCCCGCTCCCCTCGCTGGCTTCGCTTCTTGGCTGAACGGCGACTTAGGAGGAGAAATTGGACGGCATCTGGGAACGATAGAAGGATAAAAACACCGAGCGTACATGCAGAGGGGTTTGAGGGTGCGGAGAGGATGGCAGCAGAAAAATGAAATATTAATTGAAGGCAAGGGACTGGTTTGCTTTAGGAACATAGGAAGCTGCCTTCTACTGAGTCAGACCCGTGGTCCATCAAGCTCCATATTGTCTACACGGACTGGCAGCAGCTCTCCAGTTTTCAGGCAGAGAGCTCTCCCAGCCCTAGCTGGAGACACCAGGGATCAAACCTGAGACCTTTGTCATGCAAAGCAGATGCTCTACCCCTGGGCTACAGCCCTTCCCCAGAAAGTGAAGATGAAGCATAGGGGGGAAGCTGGAGAAAGGGCTAAAGATATAATTAAAAAATGATACGAGAGACTCCTAAGGAGTTGGAAAAGCCTCAAGAGATAAAGTGGAACTGGAAAACGAGTGAGGTCCCAGCTAAAGAAGAATGGCAACTTAAGCTGACGGAATATGTGCAGCTTGCAGACTTAACATAGTGTTACCTCAGGTTACAGACGCTTCAGGTTACAGACTCCGCTAACCCAGAAATAGTACCTCGGGTTAAGAACTTTGCTTCAGGATGAGAAGAGAAATCATGCGGCCGCCGCGGGAGGTCCCATTAGCTAAAGTGGTACTTCAGATTAAGAACAGTTTCAGGTTAAAAATGGACCTCCAGAATGAATTAAGTTCTTAACCCGAGGGACCACTATATAGAATAAGAGAGCAAAAGAACATATGTTTAGAGGAGACTGGAAAATGTTTATTGACTATATGGGGGGAAACTGTGTACACCTGAGAACACTGGCAGGATTAAGATAAATTCAACAGAGTGGCTGGGGAAACCCAGCCAGATGGGTGGGCTATAAATAATATTATATTATTATTATTATTATTATTATTATTATTATTATTCAGTTTTAATGGATGCAATAATGGAATACTGAATGGTTTAGTTTTTGTGACATGTGCAGGGATTTATGATATGCAAAATGAGCCATGGAAAGAGAAGAAGGGAAGTCAATGCTATTTTAAGGATGTTTAAATGAGCATTTTAAATGGTAAAACAGAAAATTTAATAAAAATGAGAGAGAGGGAGAGAGAGGGAGGGAGGGAGAGAAGCACTCAGTGATGGGCTATACAGAACAAAGTGAAATGTGAGTAAATAAATGCATGTCATACATATCCTGAAAGAAACAGCTTCACTTCAGTTTCCAAAAAGATTTCAGGGTTACCTGGCTGTTTCCTAAGAAGCAGGTAGCAGCATCCATGGAGGGAGGAAATTTAAACTGGGAAAACACCCTCCTTCCCTGCACTACAGCCCTGATCAAATTCTCCCACAATCACTACTGCATTTGCTTTTAACTTTAAAAGGCAGGAGATGAGGTTCATCCACCCCTAAGTCACATCTTGTTGATGCCCCCCTTCTATATCTTTCCCATGCATTTAAACATATTCTCTGTTTGGGGTCTGTGTGGGACCTTCTTTCCAAAATATGTGCAGGTTAGATAGGTAGGTAATAATTATATTTGTTAAGCTATAAGCTGTGATGAAACAGGAAGAGCATTCAACGGCCAACAAGGCGGTTTCTGCACGTGCCACAGAAGGAATTGAAGGGTAGAGGAGGTTTGTCAACCTGGGAAAGCAGCCCATCTAGGAGAAGGAAAACTCTGGTCCTAAACCTCCACTGTCTTGCAGGATGGCTTTGGGAGAAGAAAAAGGTGTGGGAATGTTGAGGATAGCAGGAGAGGATACATTGATTAAATATTATCCTGCCTCACTCACGCTAGTGAGCTAGTAGCAGAGCACATTCCCTAGCACATTGCTGGAAGCCAGTTGATGGATTCATGAGAACCATTTGAGTTAAGCAATCCAGTCTGACCTGTCTGGATTGGATTGTTCCTGGTAAATCCCCTTTAGTTCCCTCTTAAGAACAATAATGACACCACAGTCTTCTTTTAAAAGTAATGGTAAGGTTTACTTACATTCAGTTCACAGGACAGTGGTACCTCGGGTTAAGAACTTAATTCGTTCCAGAGGTCCGTTCTTAACCTGAAACTGTTCTTAACCTGAAGCACCACTTTAGCTAATGGGGCCTCCTGCTGCCACTGCGCCGCCACTGCACGATTTCTGTTCTAATCCTGAAGCAACCCGAGGTAATATTTCTGGGTTAGCGGAGTCTGTAAACTGAAGCGTATGTAACCTGAAGCGTATGTAACCCGAGGTACCACTGTATAGTCCTGAAGGCAGGCCTTAGCTTGTTGTTACAGTTACAGAGAAAAGTGTGGGTTCATCCTCTGTGAGGGATGAGCCCGTGCGCTGCTGGCTGAGAGCCAGCAGACAGCAAAAGGCAAAATAGAGAGGAGGGATCAAGAGAGAGAGATGGATGGCTACATGACTGGTCCTTTTGTACGATCTGCCAGGGTCACACCCATCTCCCTGGTCATACTCAGGGGGAAGATGCTGAAGACCAGGTGTGACAGGAAGTCCTCCTGGCTGGAGCAACATTCCCCTGTGTGTCCACACTGGGCAAACAGGAAATGTTGTATTTGACTGCTTCAGTGATGTTACGTCCCACAAAGGCTATGGAGTTTGCCCTACACAAATCCAGAGTGGAGTCCCTAAGAGGGCTGGATGGTGTCTTGTACATCTCCTTCCAGAGACTCCTGCAGCCAAGCGAGTGTCAAATGTATTGCTCTGCTTTCCTTTGGACCACATCAGCAAGGCCGAGAGGGGGGTCTTGTTGTCTGGGCAGCTCAGGACCTTCATACATGCTGCCCAGGCTTGTGCCCTGGGGATGTCAGTTGGGTGCTGTTAACACAGCAGTTTGACTTCAACCCCGGCACACTCAAGACAGATGGATGCAAATTAATTGTTCTGGGAGTGCACCAATGTTGATTGAACCCCCAGCTTAACAATTAATAGGTTGCATCATATTTCCGTTTTGTACGTTTCTTTGAGATTTCAAGTGATCAAGAAATTTTCAAAATAAATAGACTAACAACACTTGGAGGGTCAAGGGTTCTTCACCCATGCTTAAATTGTCAAGAAAAGGTCCACGTTTTTAGGATACTGGAAATAAATGAGCTGAGAACTTCTATCTCTTTACATCAGGGTAGGTGAAAGCAAGCAACAAGAATATTCTGATATTCTGAAATTAAATTAACGGTTTGAGGTTTCCAGCTCACAAGTCTATTTTTGTTTCTGTCAGATTTTGAGGAAGGAAAAAAAATCTATAGGAAGTAGAGAAAGCAGGATCTTCAGCATCTTCATGTTCAAAATCCATTTCTGAAAATGAATGGCTTATAAAAGTAGAGCAGTTGGGAAGAGCCATATGGTGCGAAGCGGTATCTTGAGCATCTCCATTGGCACCACGTGGTCAGGGAGTATCTGAGAAAAAAAGATTCTAGTAGAAGTGAAATAGAAGTAGAGGGCAGCAACAACAATAGGCCTTTGCAACACTTTAACGAGAGAGGAGGATGTGTAAAATAGGGGGAAGATCTTTACATGATGGAGGCGTAAGAATAGGTTTCCAGTGAAATTAACACAGGAAGGTAGAAAAGGAAATGTTTTTGGCATGTGGAACTCTCTGCCACCAGATGCAAGGAAGAATAATACAACTGATTTTTTAAAAAAAACAAACAGCCATGTTCAGGCATTCTGTGAGTTCATACCAGGTAAAATCTTATCTTTTCTCCCAGGCTGGACTATAATGATTTTGTTTTCTATTGGGAGCATGTTTTTGCTGCTAAGAACATAAGGCAAGCCCCCTGGATAAGGCCAATGGCCCATCTAGTCCAGTGTCCTGTTCTCACAGTGGCCGAACAGATGCTCCAATGGGAAGCATTGGGGCAGCACTCTGTGATTCCTTCCCCCTGGTATTCAGAGGCATAATATTGTTTTGTTGGGTCTGTCCTACTGGTTGTTGTACCCCTTGCATTGTACAATGATTTTTTTCCTTCAGATTTTGTTGTGCTTTGTCCTCTTAAAATAGTGCAAGTTTTTTGGAGACTGCTTTGTGGAAAGCAATTAATAAATAGACTAAATCGTTAAGATTTTTGTGCCGCTGCTGAGGACTGAAGCCTTGTGTTTTGTGTCTCTCCATAAAACAGGCACTGCGGAAGCTGGAGTGATTGCAGGAGCTGTCATAGGGGTCCTCTTAGCGCTCCTGTTGCTCTGTGGAATAGTCCTCTGGTTCTTACGCTTTAGGAAGCAGAAGGAGAAGAAGACGACCCAATCCATATACAGCGGGAATGAAATCAGGTTAGATTGGCTTGCCTCAAGGTTGCCTTGGTTCTAAGCAAGCATCATTTGCCAACTGATCCTTAAAAGATGCAAAAACAAGGAAGCCAGGAGCTAAAAGCAGCCTTCTCCAACCTGATGCCCTCCAGATGTTGTAGACTACAACTCGCAAGTTCTGGCTGAGGGTGATGGGAGTTATAGTTCAAAACATCTGGAAGACACCTGGCTGGGGAAGGCTGCCTAAAGGTCAGAAATTCACAGAAGCCTGTTGACACTAAGGCTAATTTATGCAATGCCATCAGTCTTCCCTCTTACCACTGTTTTGGCACGAGGTCCAATTCAACAGGTAGTTTGATAGCTCTGCAAATCAGATGGATTATCTAAAGATGCAATGAAGGAGAAGAAGCCTCCCTTCCCACTTCCTAGGTCCTGTTGACTGGTAATTAAAAAAAAAAAGTGATGTTGACCAGACAGGTGCAAGGAGCTTCTGGTTTAGTTAATTTCACACTGAAAGGAAACTTTAAAAAATATATTAAAAAGTCTTTCCCACTATTGTCTGTTTGCTACCCATCTTGACTTTTCAAGGCATGGGATATAAAAGATAAAAAGCTTTCAATGCAGTCTACTCCACTTAATAGGCTACAATAGGGGGAAATGTGACCAGCTGATGTGTGCACCTGCTCAGTCTGCTGTTCAGGATCTAAATGTAGAGAGAAGTTGGATTTCATGGAGAGAAATCCAGGTATTTCATGGACAGGGGAGCGGGTGGTACTGTGGTCTAAACCACTGAGCCCTTTGGGCTTGCTGATCAGAAGGTCAGCAGTTCGAATCCCAGTGACGGGGTGAGCTCCCGTTGCTCTGTACCAGTTCCTGCCAACCTAGCAGTTCGAAAGTACACCAGTGCAAGTAGATAAATAGGTACCGCTGTGGCGGGAAGGTAAACGGCATTTCCGCGCACTCTGGCTTCCGTCATGGTGTCCCATTGCACCAGAAGCGGTTTAGTCATGCTGGCCACATGACGACCTGGAAAGCTGTCTGTGGACAAATGCTGGCTCCCTTAGCCTGGAAGCAAGATGAGCGCCACAGCCCCATAGTCCTCTTTGACTGGACTTAACCGTCCAGGGGTCCTTTAAGGTAAAGGTAAAGGGACCCCTGACCATTAGGTCCAGTCATGGCCGACTCTGGGGTTGCGGCGCTCATCTCGCTTTATTGGCCAAGGGAGCGGGCATACAGCTTCCAGGTCATGTGGTCAGCATGACTAAGCCGCTTCTGGCGAACCAGAGCAGTGCACGGAAATGCTGTTTACCTTCCCTTCAGAGCAGTACCTATTTATCTACTTGCACTTTGACGTGCTTTCGAACTGCTAGGTTGGCAGGAGCAGGGACAGAACGATGGGAGCTCACCCCGTCACGGGGATTCGAACCGCCAACCTTCTGATCGGAAAGTCCCAGGCTCCATGGTCCAACCCACAGCTCCACCCGCGTCCCTTTACCTTTACCTTTTTTACCTTCATGGACAGAGCACATGTTTTGCATGGGAAAGGTCCCAGGATCAATCTCTAGCATCTCAAGCTAGTACTGGGAAGGACTTTTGCCCCAAACCTTAGCGAGTTGCTGCAAAACCTCAGTCAAGTATAATTGTGCAGCCTGAATTCACTGGTATCTCACTTGAAAATAGTGACCGTCTGGCTGATGCTACCTGCTTCAACATCTCTCTCTCCCCCCCCCCCCTTCTTCTCTTCCAAAGGGAAGATGCCACAGCTCCAGGAATCTCTGAGGCCTCTCTGCAGGGAGAAAGCCAGCCAGAAAATCATCTTCTGGAAAACATATCTAGCAGGCCTGCATCTACTACCAGCACTACCAAATCCCAGCTCAATAATTTTCTTGTCTAAGGTTGCTCTGTGACTGTGGGGTGGGTTTGTTGTCGCTTTACAGCATTTTGTTTTACTGCACGAAGAACATTTCCTCTGAAGATGTTTAGGACATCCTTCAAAGGGTGTCCTAAACTGCCCCTAATCTGCTTGCTGCATTGTTAAAACTTGAATTAGATTTCTGAGAGCTCCTCCAGAATAGAGGTGGTGGAGAAATTCTATTCATTTTGCATTTCAACCTACCTTATTTTCACTTTCCAAAACAATATGCAAACCGAGACACAGACATCCTTTCAAATTCTCATGTCTCTGAATTTTGCAAGGTCGTTCTCCAGCAAAGTAATGTGTACAAAAATGAATATACCAGGGTAAAGTACATCTTTGTGTAAAACACATATGAAAATGCATCATATTTGGGGGCTATTGTCTTGCAAAAATGTGTCTACTAGGCAAAATTGCAAACAAAAATATGTATAATTCACACTAAAATGCTGGTGAATTTTCATAATAACTTCTAGCTACTTCCTTCAAGAGCTGTGGCTCAACTTCAGTTGCCCCTTTCTCCAATCAGAGTTTTTAGTGTAGTTTACTATGACTCCTTAAGCTTCCCTGCTAGGTAGCACTGAACACTAGCTTTTCTATGGACTTCCTACCCTTAGAATTTAGCTCCTGTGTTGTGAAATTTCCCAGGACTTGGAGACAGTGACCTTACACTGCTGTGCAATCTGCTGTAGCTTTCCAGCTGGACTAACTGATCTGTGCTCGAAAGTTGTTCGGAAAAGGCAGTTCCTTTGGAACATGGGAGCCAGACTTCTTTTTAGTGTGAAATGCGGGGAGCATTTAAACTTTGATTCTGTATTTGTCCATTTGTTTCTGGGTTCCTTATGCATCCCTTTTGGGAACACCCTTTTTTCATCCTGAGGGCTGCATTTGCTTCTAGGCAACTTCCTGAGGGCCACATGCTGGTGGGTGGAGCCAGAATCAGAAGTGAGTTGAGCAATAAATGCTAGTGGACCAACCACCCGCCTCTATCCTCCATACAGGCCAACAAGAGGCATTATCGGAGTTCAAGGGCACAGTCTAGCCAGTCAAATGCCTTCAAGGAGGGTGCAAAGCAGGGCCATTAAAGATGTAGCCATGGAGAGGGGGGTGTTAGCCTGGGGAGAGTTCCAAGGGCCACATGGAGAGACCTGGAAGTCTGCCTTTGGCCCTTGGACCAAAGGTTCTCCATCCCTGCTTTATGGTCTTAGTCCAGGCTATTTGAGAGAGTGCCTTCTCCCATAAGTACCTCTCTGCTCTGAGTCACTGAGACTCTTCTGGTCGTTCCCACAGTGTATTTCACTGACAATGACTTCCAGTCAGGCTTTTTCAATGATGGCTACTAAGCTTTGGAACTTGAAACAGGTTCATGTTGCAGGGTGCCAGATAATCCAGGAATTTTCTCCTTTAAAGCACACTGTTAATATGTTTTTGTTGTATTCATAGGCTATTTATGGTCAGGTTCATGCATCAATGCTCTGGATTTCTCTCATCGTGTGTTTCCACTACCATTGTTCTGATTCTATATTTTGTGTTGTTCCTTTTTTAAAAAACCATTTCCTTACCATGAAGATTGCTGCATGAAGTTTGAGTTAACCAAGCCCCACCCCCCAAAAAATAAACAATGGATGTCTTCCTGTATTAAGCCCCATCTTTCTAAGACTGAACAACCCTAGGCTTTATTCTTGGCTTTACGGCTAGACACAGCTGCCCAAAGTATCCCAGTTTTGGGGATTTTTTTCTCCCTGGAGCTGCTCAGAATCTCTCTTCTTCAGTGTGTTCCCCCGCCAAAAAATGTGTCCAGGCAATCCAAACACTTGCGTACACACACACACACACACACACAGCTCAAACCTGTTGCCAGCATCCACTGTGCACAAATTAGGCCGCTCTGCATACATTTACTTATTTTTATAGCTGTCAGCTGATAAAAGAAATCTGAATGGTCTGGGTTTTAGTCTAGAGAAGATCAGTTCTAGAGAGCATGCCAGAGGAGCTGCTACTTCCAGAGTCGTGCTGCGTACACACCAGCCAGGACAAAACAAGAGCTTTTAACACCTTATTCTCCCTGCCCCATTATCTGATGTAAATTATAGGGCACTTCCTGTCAGTGGTTTACCCTTCCGTGGACTCCCTGCAGGGCAGGAGTCAAGATATATCCTGGCTTCACCCCAATGCCTAAGCTAAACCCCTCACATCTGTAACCAATAAAGTTGTGGCCTATTTGAACCCATAAACCAGTGTGTTTTATTGTTCTCCTGGGAACTTTGTGGCTCAGGTGCCTTGGTACGCAGTGGGCAAGATGGCAGGCAGCTGCTGCAACAACAACAAAAAGGATCCAGATTTTCATATCAACATTCCTTTATTAACATTCCATCTTGGTAGAAGCAATCACATGCAAAATGTTAAAAAGATATTTAGAAAGACAGCTGCACCAGCTCCTGCCTAAACTGTATGGATGGATGGATGGAGAGAGAGAGAGGGAGGACTTACAAAGTGGGGCACGGTGCAGAGAGGCCGAGGGAATGTGGGGTGTTCACAAGGCAGATGGAAGAACAGTGTAGGATGGTGTAAAATATAGCTGAATAAGCAAGAGGAAAATTCCTGCATGCTATCGAGGCCTTTTGAACATTTCTTGGAATGGCTGGATGGTGTACAGTCCTTCTTGCTACCTAGAGAATCTTCCTAAAAGCCCGGCAAATTCAAAGCAGAGAATACAGTCACTGCTTGAGTTTGCTCTTCTGCTTATCCCATGGCCTTCTTCCCCACCCTGTCAGCCCTTCTCCTGCCTGCTCTGAGCCCTGTAAGAAGCGAGGGAAGAAGAAAGCATAAAAGGCCAGGATCACATCTTCTTTCTAACCTGCCAGCCTGTTAGAGAACTTGGACCGTTCTTCGTGCTCTATAGAGAGCATAAAGCTGGAGGTTTGAGTAAGAAAACAAGAATGAGGGAATTGGGTTAATGAGTGCGGGGAGCCAATTGGTGGAAGGGGGAATCAGATTAATGCAGCCTTGCAAATAATAATAAGAAGAAGAAGTGGTTGCCTGCAAAAATATTTACTAGCCTGCTGTGGGCTAGCATTGGAGAGACAGAACTGGCATGCTATTGCATTCAGGTCCTGCTTTTGAGCTACCCATAGGCATCGGAGGTGGGGGAACTGTAAGATGGTCCCTTGGCCTGATCCAGCAAAGCCTTCTTATGTTCTTATGACAAGGTACACTGAGTGGCTTCCTCTTCTCTCACTTGCTCTCTCCCTCTGGGCCCAATCGGCACAATGCCCTGAAGCTGAGCATGGGGAGAGGGGTGGAGGCTGTTCTTGTCTTCTTGCTCTGGTTTGCAGGCTCAAAGAGAGCAGGTGAACAGACAGTTCCAGGAGGAGGAGGGAGGAACATCAGAAAATGACAGTGGGCCCCTAGTGGGTTTGTGCAGGTGCCCACCAATGCCTGCCCTGTGGAGTGCTCTTCCCTTCCTCTGCCCTGCCTTCCTACCCTGGGTGCAAAGGAGGGATGGAACACTCCATTCCTCCTCTACCAGCTGCAAGTCTTTCATGGTTGCTGATGTCTTCTGGGCTAGTGCTTAATTGCAAGGGTGGGTTAACAGCAAATGCGGAAGGCAAAATGATTTAATTGGACTACAAGCTTGATCCCAAAACTATAGGGCCAGACCATTACAATGGTTCTCAAACTTAATCCATTCCGAGAGTCCATTCGACTCCCAAAACCATTAAAAAACCAAGGCACGGCTTCCGATTGGCTGCAGGAGCTTCCTGCACTCAATCGGTAGCCACGTAAGCCTTGTTGGATGTTCGGCTTCTGAAAAACAGTCACAAACTGGAACACTTACTTCCGGGTTTGCGGCGTTCGGGAGCTGATTTGTTTGACAACTAAGCCATTCAGGAACCAAGGTACCACTGTATATTTTGCAGCCTGAAGACAAGAATGGTGCCCCTCTTCCCCAAACCAACTGGACTGGTACATGAATCTGGACTGGTACATGAATTCTCCACCACACTTGAGGCAGCGTATGCAGTCCTGGCTTCCAACAGAGGGCAATGGCTGGGAGGAGGAGCTCAGGAGCCACAGCTGCACCCCAGCACCTGACCCCTGAAGTCACTGCCTCACTCTGTACAATGGTAGGGCCAGCCCTACAGAACTTGGGGCTAGGAGGTTAGGGCAGCCACAACAAGCAGCTTGCATGGTGGGGGGGAATGATACACACTGACTATCAGATTGGGTCTGTGCAAATGAAGAACCTGAAGGCTAATAACAGGGAGCAACTTAGCACTCTCCATGATCTACTGGCCCAAAGAATAAAAGGGAACCAATGGCTGTCCTACAGCTACTGTATAAGTTCATTTAAAAAGGGCTCACCACACCATGACAAGAATTGAGGACACCAACAGAATTAATATTTCAACCTTCAAACCACAACTGAACAGGAACGTTCAACAAAGGCTAGACTGATTAAAAATGGAGCTTGGTTGCGCAACGCCTCAAAAAGAATTTCTTAAACTGTCAGATGCAAAAGAATAAATCAGCATGCAACATGCAAGAAAAGGCTTTATGGGAACACCTCTCTGGGCTGACCAAGGAAAAGGGTGTTTCCTTTCTAGCTGGAGATATTTTAAATTTAAAGTGTGAAAGGTAGCATGAGAGAGAGATTTCAGAAACAGCTTTGCAGGATTTTGATGTGTTTTTCAAAACTTGATGCCGCCTGTAATGAGGACAGACAAAACACCTTATTGCAATCCTATGCATAGTTACAGTACTCAGAAGCAAGCCCCATTAAGTTCAATGGTACTTACTCCCTGGTATGTGAGCACAGGATTGCAGCCTCAGTCATGGGGAGATAGTTTGAATGGACCTTCCTTGCACAAGTAACATTATGTACAGATTTCTGCCTGGCGCAAGTTCAGCAGGCAAGGAATGATGCTGCAATTTTTCTGTGTGTTGGGACAGGGGGTGGGCTGGGGACACAGAGCTGGGATGGGCACATATGAGTTGGTGTTAGAGAATATATGAACTGAAGCACAGCCTTTCTTTGAAGCATGCCCTTCTCTGAATTTTGTGACGTAGTTCTCCAAACAAATGAAGTATACAAAAATATATATATCGGGGAAACTAGGCAGACAAAGGCATATATTAGTGGAAAATAGCACCATACGTGCATTATATGAGGGGGAACTGACTGCAAACACTGTTAGGCAAAAATGCATATAAAAATTTGTACATTAGGCTAAAATTCTGATGAATTTTCAGGAGAATCTTTTTTTTAAAGGAATTGCAAAACTGATGCAGAAATGTGGTGGACTGGATAAAACAAGAAACTGAGAGAAACCAAAATTGACAGGTTAACCCATCTCGAAGTGGCACCCATAATATCATCAACATGCATTTCCTTCTCCATTATTTTTAAAATGTTATTTAATTAGTAAGGTGAAAGATGGGCAAATGGAGATATAAGAAAATCATTGCGTTCACAATCACAGCTATAGGCAATGTTAATGTGGTTTTATTTTATGTGTGTATGGTGGTGGTGTATGCAATAAGGATCTAATTAAAAACAGCAGCCAATATTATGCCCCATCGAGCCAGATATTACAGTGGGACAAAATACATGCTTTTGTGCTGTAGAGCAAGCCGTTCTATCATACCACTCGCAGCTCCACTGCCTTGTCTCCAGACTCTGGCCAGTGATGGAAAAGGCTTCAGGGCCGAGCTATAAGAAGAATAGCCTCTTTGCCTCTGCTCAGACTGCTTAGAATGCAGGACTGAGTAGCGAATGCCTGGAGGCCCCCCAAAAACTGAGAAGTGGAGAGGCAAGCTTACAGGTTATGAGCGCTGCAAAAGAAAGTTCCGTTCTATATCGCACAGGTGTGGGTGTGATATACGTGCATATAATTTGGGTGGGGGGAATTGAAGAACAACTGATATGTACACAGGGAGGGGTTAGAGACAGCGTGCAAAGGAGGAAGCAAGGAGTGCCAATATGATTTTTTTTTAACAGAAAGAATAGGGATAGCGGCTCTAAAAAGAAAGGCGGACCAGGAGAGCATTGCATCTCTTCTGTGATCAGACTCAATGGGGTGGTGATTGTTCTTCTGGAAGTGAAAGGGTGCTGTTGAGAGGACCAATGGGAAACCAGCTTGGATGCTTCTGTGCCATTCCATCTCTTCTTAGCCACTGTAAATAGAAAGAGACATATTGACTCGGGCATTCGCAGACCTGCATCAACAGCTTCCTTCCTGACCTGTGGAGGGACTGCTTCCAAACCTCCCCTCCAGATTTTTTGGTAGGTTTTGGAGCTCCAAATTGCAGGGTTTTGTTTCCAAAACCACCGTTGAGTTAGAATTTGCCTTTATTCCCCTTTAAATAACATTTCTGAAATCTCAGTGGTAAACAACAACAACAACAACTATTATTATTATTTATTTATACCCTGCCCATCTGGCTGGGTTTCCCCAGTCACTCTGGGTGGCTTCCAACAAAAGATTTAAAATTCTTAAAGGTTGGGAAGGGGGGAAGGGGGAAGGTGTGCTTGGGAAAGCAAGTGCACTGATCCCAGTGAAACTTACTTCTGAGTAAACAAGCAGAGTGGATTATAATAATAATAATAATAATAATTTCTTCTTTATAC